CTGTGTTTTGTCTAGAAGATTGACTCAAAGAAGAGAAAATTGAACTCATGACCTTAGGAATTAAACCTCAAACCTTAATCACAATGCCATCCACCCTGCAGTGTTATAGCTTGACCTTGTGCATGACTAAAGTCATAATTTGTCCTTTTCGAAAGATTTTCATCAACTTCAAGAATTTGTCCTTTATTTTTATTTTTTTTAAATGATGAATGGGACCCACTTCTTCCCATGCAATATGACTTCATAGAGAAATTATTTAGTACGACCAACTTATTATGTGATTTTGTACCCAATTTATGGCAACCAATTACATAATCATTGCATATGGAAATCACCTCTCCTTAAAATTTCAAGTAATAATAGGAATATCAAATTTTCTACTAAATAAATGATTAAATATCTCACATGAACGTGAGATCTATAATTTTTATGTGAGATATTTAATCATTTATTTGGTAAAAAATTTAAAATTTAAAACATTTTTCAAAAATTTCATATTCTTCATATTGAGCAAGACTCTATTTTATAAGTTTGGTGAGATTTTAGGACGATGATTCGAATAATTTATTTTATAAATTTTAAAGAGATGAATATATATGTAAAAAGATTAGTTTAATTAGATATCGATGAACATACTAACTTTTCATATTTTATTAAAGTGGGTGTTTGGGAAGAAGATTTTTTAACTTTTTTACTAAAATAGCACTAAAAGACAAAATAGGCGAAAATAGATAATAAGACAAAATGTCACATCAAACTCATTATCATTTCACTTTTTCTCTCACAAACATCACATTCAATTACAAAAAAATCCATTTATCTTCCCAAACACAAAAATTTTAACATACTAAGCCTCCGTTTGGGAAGTGGGTTGACTTTTTGGCTTTTTGACTTTTTTGACTATTTTAGCCTGGGCTAAAAAGTTTGGTTTGGGAAGAACTTTTTGGCTTTTTAACTTTTTGACTTTTTTTGTGAGAGAAGAATGTAATGATTATAGGTTAGATGTGATATTTTATTTTTTGTGGCTAAAATAGCCTATTTTGTCTTTTATGGCTAAAATAACCAAAAAAACCCCGTTTAGCTCTTGCCAAACGGAGCCTTAAAAATAACCAAAAACTAAAATAACCTACTAAAATAACAACTTCCCAAACACCCACTTTATAAAATGAATTTTTTTAAATTTGTTAGTATGTCTATCGATTTCCAATTAAGTTGTTTTTTTGCATATACGTTTTTTTATTCGAGACTTACGAGATAAACGGTTCAGATCACCGTTATACAACCTCAAGAGATCCACAAAATAAAGTTAGGAGTTATAGAGAAGATGGTGTGTTTGGTTTGTGTTTTGAAACATATTTTTGAAAGAAAATTTTTAAAAACACATTTGGTTACAAATTTTCTTTAAAAAAATTCAAAATTACTTTTCTCTTTGTTACAGATTAATCAATCACTTTTTCTCTCTCCTCTCTCCTTCTCAATCACTTTTTCTGTCACACACATCTACTCAACTATAACAAAATATCAAATCATCCCAAACTCTCAAACTCCAAAACTATTTTCAAAATATACAAACAAACAAACTAAAAAAACATTTAAACTCTCTCTCCAAATTTTTTTAAAAAAATTTATCTCAAAATACAAACTTAGGCCCCGTTTGGAGACTTACCTTTTTAGCCAAAAAGCCAAAAAGTTACCTTTTTAGCCAAAAAGCCAACAACTCATACCAAAAAGTCAAAAATTCTCTTTTCTCTCTACTTTTTGCACATCTTTTCGTAATTAGCCAAAAAGTCATCCCAAACATATAAGTTTTTTTTACCTACTTTTTTAGCCAAATAACCAAAAAATTACTAAATTAGCCTGTTCCCAAACGAGGCCTAAACACATCAGAAATCTTCAAGGAAGCTACTCCCATGATGTCATAATAATTGATTTGTTTTTGTTATAATGATACAGGTAATGAAAATATTGATAAGTAATACAAATTATTATTTAATTTTTTTTTTATTTTTACCTTTGTACTTTTCTTTTATCTATATTTTCGCATGCGCTACTATCAACACCTAGTTCTAGTGAATAATTGGACATATTGACAAATAGATAAGAAAGATTAATATAATTTTTTAAATTATTATTGTCATTTTTGACAATAAAATAAAATTCAAGACAATTACTTTAAAAATTATAAATTTAAATTTATCATTCGAATGTCCAAAAATATAATAAGATATAAACCAAAGCTACTTACCAAATTTTTTATTTTTGTATTTAGTGGTTCCTTTGGGAGCACATTTCCGAGTCCTTGATTTACTCTTAGATATTGCTATTGACAAACAAAACACAACTCACGTTTTTTCATGGAATTTATATCCTTCAAGAAACACAAAGTATAGTATATTTATATAATGAAAAATGATATTTAGACAAAATATATATGTGTATATATATATATACATAATTTAACACTGCATTCATATGGCAATAGTATTCTTATAATAGAAAATAACTTACAAATAAATTTTTATACATAAAATGTATTAATACTCTTATAATTATGAGTTGACTTGAAATACAAAGATTGTAAAAAGGTCGTTCGATATAGAAGTTTTGTATAAAAATTCTATTTGTATGCCATCATCATTTTGCAATTATGAATCATAGTAATCGAGATTTGAACTTTTAATGAATAAATATAGGGTAAATTGCATTTACCTCCCTTGAGGTTAAAAAAAATACAGTTAGTCCTAAACTTTTGACATAGTTATACTAATTTCTCTTAAGATTTTAATTCATATAACATTCAAGTTATTTTTCATTAATAATTCGTCAGTCATGAAGAATGAAAAATGATACTATCATCACTTTCCTACTAAAATATATATTTATTTTTGTTTATTTTAGTACTACCCACCACTACTTGTATTAGTTTCGATCGCTGTAATCATACTAAAAGAGAGGTTAGTGTAATTATATCAAGAGTGTAGAGTTTAATAGTATTTTCTTTAAGCCTCAAGGGAAGTAAGTGTAATTCACTCAGCTTTCGTTTGGCATGCCAAGCTTTTTGGCTTTTTGACTATTTTAGTTACAAAAAGACAAAATAAGTTTTTTAGTCTAATAAGACAAAACATCACATTCAGTCCATAATCATTTCATTTTTCTCTCACAAAAGTCAAAAAAAGCCAAAAAGCCTATCCCAAATGTGACTTTTTAGCCCCAAGCTAAACTAACTAAAAAACCAACACACATCCCAAACGAACCCTCATAAATATAAATGAGACACATCATTGTATATAAAAATTTATATACAAATTATATTTGGATTCCTCCTTTTCAATTTATTATTAATAAATAAATAAAAATCATAACGAGTTCAAGAAACAACACATATTTAGATATGATAAAATTATCTAATCCAATTATATTTGCTCCAACTTTATTTTAACAAAAAATAAGTTTGGAAAAACATTGATAAGGCAAGGTAAAATATAGGGGAAAAGCAGATTAAAACTGTCAAAATTAAAATGAAGTATAAAATTATATCATTAAAATAATTAAATTAAAATTTTACATGTGAAACCTGAAAATCCGACCCGTTGTGATCCCTACCCATATTTCATCAAAGATGGGTACCAAATGTCATGTTTACTTTCCCAAAAGTTTACGAAACAGCACATATCATCACTCCTCAAGCTTCATTTTTATTTTTTATTTTTATTTTTTGAGTTTATGATTGGTTTGGCAAGTTAGCTCTTAGACCTAAAAAACAGTAGGTAAATTACACTAGCCTTGTTGAGATTTGAAAAAAAATAAAGTTAGTCTTATACTTTTAAAATAATTATTTTGACTTCTATTTTAATAAAGCTGACTGCAACTAATACTGATAGTTGGTAGATACTAAAATAAATAAATATAAATATACATTTTAATAGAAAATATATAATAATATTATTTTTTTATTCATATAACTAACTGTATTTTTTTCAAATCCCAAAACAATCAATGCAATTTACCCAAAAAAGTAACTAGAAAAATCGAAATATCACCAAAAAAAACAAGACATACACGCCAGCACACCAATTATCCACGTTTTTTCATACAATTAAAAAAATTAATCTCAAACGCATTAATTTTTTATTTTACAAAAAAATAAAAAAATAAATTTAAAAAACAAAAAAAAAACAAAAACCAAATCCCAAAAAAATCATTCTCAAAAACATTTAACTTTTTTTCATTTCACATATTCTAATAGTTATACTTGAGACAAGTTAAGTATTTGGTTTCATTTCCCAAAATCTTAACTTATGTGCTTATTTGAATTAAAAGATCAAAATAAGTTAAAATAATTAACTTATAATTGAATTTTTGAATTTTTTTTAGATAGAATTTTTTAAGCTCACCAACCAGTTTGTTACCGCTTATTCTAAGCTATAAAAGATGATAATCTATAACTAGAATACAAAAGTACCTCTCCTTTTACGACAACTAGTTTTTTTTAAAAAAAATTATTTTTACAACATAAACTGTAACAAATAGTTTCACGCATAATTCCAAAAAATAAATAAAATATTAGAAAAAGTTCTACAAAAGACAAAGATGCATCCCATGCTTCACAATGCAAACAATTACACAGAACAAAATACAAAAGATCTACTGTTGATCTTGATAGTGTTCTTGGTGTGTTCACTAAAAACTGTTATTAAAAATAACCCCCAAGCCAAGATTGAAAACATTTGATAGTTACTACAATCATATAGTATTGGTTTGGTACCCAACAGACAAGCTGCCACATTATTTATGCATTTACACACCTAAAACCAGCTAACAAGACCTCAGCAGTTTTCTGTTCAATAAAATAACAAAAGAGTTCTGCCACCGACAATTCGATCCCCGGTCTTTTAAAAATAAAAAATGTCAAAAAAAAATTAGAACGTTGACATACTGCATTTCCCAATAATAAATGCTATAAATAATTGGTAGTTACCTCATTTTAAATTATGTTTGTCACAACCCAATCTGAATCATGAGAGAAGCATATCTTTTTACTGTCATTTATTTCTTCAAAAAACATAAATATTGATTCAAGATGTCTTATATATATAGAATATATCAGCACTCAAGCTACAAGTGAACTATGAGAGTATAATTTAAAGGGGGGCAAAACAAAGTAAGAGGTCAAACACAGAAATGGAGTACAACTGGTATTCATTTACCTGGCCGAGCGTTTCTTTTTTAGCTGCTCTGTTTCTTCTGATCAGCAGGATCAAGGCTTGGAAAGGTGGTAACAAACAGCGTCCGCCAGGGCCTCCAGGATGGCCGGTTGTTGGCAACATGTTTGATCTCGGATCTATGCCCCACCAGAACTTGTACAAACTCAGATTCAAGTATGGACCAGTTCTTTGGTTGGAGCTCGGTTCTGTCAACACAATGGTTGTACAATCGGCCAAAGCAGCGGCAGAGTTGTTCAAAAACTACGATCAAGTTTTTTGTGACCGCAAGGTCACTGATGCACTAACATCCTTGGGCTACAACCAGGGATCGTTGGCTGTTGGTAACTACGGCGTGTATTGGCGCATACTACGGCGACTGTGTTCCATGGAGCTTCTAGTCAACAAACGAATAACCGGTACAGCTGCGCTCAGGCGGAAATGTATTGATAACATGACTCGATGGATTGAGGAGGATTCGGCAGCAGCACGTGCACGTGGAGGGTCAGGTGAGGTAGAGATAAGCCGCTTCCTCTTCCTCATGGCTTTCAACATCGTAGGCAATCTCACGCTGTCAAGAGATGTCTTGGAACCGGACTCGGAACAAGGGCGTGAATTCTTTGATGCTATGAACAAGATCATGGAGTGGGCGGGGACACCAAATGTGGCGGACTTCCTGCCTTTTTTGAGATTGCTGGACCCATTAAGGATCAAAAGAAACATGGTACGGGACATGGGACGAGCCATGAATATTGCAGATGGCTTTGTGAAGGACAGGATTCAAAAGAAGCAGTCGGGCACGAAGAACACGAACAAAGATTTCCTGGATGCTATGTTGGAGTATGATGGTGATGGAAAAGAAGGGCCAGATAAGATTTCAGAGAAGAATGTGATGATTATCATCCTGGTAAATGACATACTCTACTGCTGTTAATGTGTGTGTGTGTGTGAACATTTGCAAAGATGCAACTATGGGTGAATATGGTTTGGTTTAGGAGGAAACTAAGGACCAAACCACCATTTATTGTTTCAAGAAAGTTTGAACCAACCCAAACCATAAAAACTTTGAAATCAAACTAAACTGAACCAATTGAACGCGGTTAAGTTTAGTTTGGAACCACGGCTTCAAGAAACATGCCTCATTCACAGCATGCTCACGTAAAATTACTCACAACCTACTCAAATATCAAGCAATATGCTATTATTTTTCAAACAATAATTGTTTACATGACTGTTTAAAACTAGTTCTATCATTATACATCAACATGCTTGCAAGTGTAGATCCGTTTATTTTTCTTGAATTTAAATTATTTCAGTTAACAAAAGTTGCACATATATATGTATATATCTAAACGAGCCGGTTCAAACCAGAACCATAACTGTAAAATCATGAACCGAACGGTGAAGTAAAGTTCACTATTTTAAGAACCAGGACCAAACCGTACATTTGATAAAACCAAGCCAAACCAAACCACACGGTCCAAATTACAGTTTTTTCTCAACCCTAGAAGCAGTAGTTCACTGTGAGAGTGAAAACACTAATCAGTGCACTAATGGTGTAGGAAATGTTTTTCGCCGGATCAGAAACTACAAGCAGCACCATTGAATGGGCAATGGTAGAACTACTACGCAACCCTGATTCATTGAGAAAAGTCAAAGAAGAGATTGACCGAGTTGTGCCCAATAGGAAGGTTGAAGAGACTGACATAGATGAGTTGGTGTATTTGCAAGAAATAGTGAAGGAAACACTCCGGCTACATCCTGCAGTTCCCTTCCTGATACCACGGAATTCAATGGAAGATTCCGACTATATGGGGTATCTCATACCGAAGAATACACAAGTGCTTGTGAATGCATGGGCAATTGGAAGGGACCCAGAGTCTTGGGATGACCCCTTGTCTTTCAAGCCAGAGAGGTTTCTGGGAAAAAACATTGAATACAAAGGGCAACACTTTGAGTTGATTCCGTTTGGATCTGGCAGAAGAATTTGTGTCGGCTTTTCCTTGGCTCACCAAGTGGTTCACCTTGCTCTGGCCACGCTGATTCAGTCTTTTGACTGGGAGCTCAGTAGCTCTGACACTTCAGGGATTACAGACATGACTGAAAGGATGGGGATATCACTTCGGAAACTAGTACCCTTGAAAGCAATACCCATAAGTCGAACTATATCAAAGTGAAGTGATCCTCTAGCTTGCAAAATAAATCATGTCTCAATGTTGTATTGAAAATATATTTGTTAACTATTTGTTGGAGAAATTGCAAATCAGTAGAAAGTAGATGAAGTAAATACAACAATATGGAGGTACAAGTGGGTTTGTGCTTTGGTGCTAGTAAGGCCACGCTTGCACCTTCGTATTGTTACAATTATTTTCTCTACTTTCCACTGATTTGCAATTCCCCCTTGCTTGTATGGTATTATGCAGACAATCAAAGTGTCAAGGTTTATATGGTATTGTTTAAGTTTTATAATTGCAAGTGTTCTAGTCGTATCTTTTCCTTGTACTTGGTATAAATCTACTTTTGTTTATGCTATTTGTGTTTCTTTTCTAGTAGAGAAGATCAAAGAGTCATAAACTAACTATGGCTTTTCCTTTATGCAATCACTCAGATCCAATAGCTGGCTATGGTTTCACTATCCATTTGTAGTTAGAGAAATACTTCTATTTGTGAAAACAAGTGAACTAACCTATCATATTTTCCCCAGAAAGAGGTCTTCTATCTATGTTCTGTCAGCAAATTTTGCTGCCACGATCTATGGTGTAGCAAATTTTCACGTTTGCAACCTAAACTGTCAACTAGGCCCTCAAAAAACAAATACCCTCCATTAAAGTTCAAATTCACTACAAGTTGCCACACTGACCTCCATTGCTGCTGCTCTTCCTCAGGATATAACCAAACCTCAGAACCAATTATTAGTATTTTATTAGAAAGATCAAACATAACAAATCAATCAAGGAAATTCATAAGAAAATATTTATATTTCCCAGTGAACCAAGTATACAAAAAGAACAAAATTCTACTATTCAACTTAAAATTCAGATCTTTAATCCCCTCAAAAGTTGTCCGATTGCATTCCACCAAATAATCCACACCAAGCAAATAACATCAAAAACCACGACTTCTTCCTTTTCTTCCTCACTCTAACTCCCCTCCAAGTATGGATAAAATAAAATAAAACCTATCACCATTCTTGAAGAAGACCCACTTAAATGCCCCCAAAAATCAAAAACCATAAATCTCCAGCCACCCCACAATGAATAATAAGATGCTTGGTTAAGTGATTCATCATCCTACTTACACATACAACACCAGTTTAACATGATAATTTGCCATGCAGCTGCACAACTAACTATGCAAAAAAAAATGCCACCTTGATTGGAGCCTTATGCTATGTTTGGATAGGGATTTGGAAAGACAAAAGGAAATGGAAAAAAAAATTTAGCTTATATTTCATTAATATTTTCCTCACCTTTTCCCTTTCCCTTTAGATTAAAAAATTTAGTTTATATTAAGGAGAAGAAAACTGAAACCTTATAATCAGCACAAATGAGGCAATTCCAGGTGATGTGGGACACATTCCAACATACTTCAAGAAATCATTCCACACTATTTGAATACCTTTCTATAGCCCCTTACCATGAGATATAGAGATGTTCATAATACTCATATCCCCCCACATATCTCTATATTTTAACTAGACTACCCTTTTTTAATACCTGTCTCACTCACAAGCGTACTCACAACATAACCCCAAAACCATTTTCCCAAGACAGCTTATCTACAAATTTTTTACTTTCTTCATTAAAATTTAATTTGATCTTTTCTTTGGAACACAGAACACCTAATCTAAAATTACAAGATTCATAATATGTTCCATTTGATGCCTACACAAATTAAGATGAACTCATTTACAACTTCAAAGATTCTCAATGAGTTAACACACACAACCAACCGTCAATCAACTGTGAATAAAGATTAGTTGAGAAGTATTAGATGCCATCACGAAATATTTTATTCCTAGTAATCTAATTTAAGTTTATGGATGAGCTAACAAAGTTCTCATTGGATAATAAAAATATCGTGTGTTATGAAACATATGCCCTTCAAGAGACCATAGAAATTTTAATGGTAAAACCGTACAAGTTGAAGTATACTTTACAAGGAAGTGGCTGTGAGATCTGAATTTACCATTACAAACAAAATTTGTGGATCTAAAAACAAGCCAACTCAATAGAGACTAGCCCCAAAAGAAGCAACAGGATTTGTCTAAGTGATAAAGCAGTACCTTAACTGAAGGAAGAATGACTTATCACGAACAAAGAATTCATAAGAGTTAAACTATGCAGCCCAATTGACCAAGCAGTAGCAGAGCTCTTCGTGAACTCTGTCAATTGTCATGTAGTGAAAAAATCTCTTCTGATTTATCACACATTGTAAATAATGTTATCCCTTTGCAGCAAATAACCATCACAAGCCCTTCTACCTGCAGACTCCATGAAAGCCTTTCCATCAATTTCCCTTCCAAACCTTGAGATGTAATTCAGACCCATAAGAAGTTCTATGATTGCAGCTTCTGTCTTTACTTGATTTGCAAAGTGCAGGGTCTGGACCAGAAGTATGTTCGTAACAGGAACCATACACTGCTTCTCAACATTCCGCTCAGAATGCCATCTTATCATGTTATGAGCAAGCGGAGCCAACCATTCTAATATTTTTGTTAATGCCAAACTCCACTCTGCTGCAAGGGCAGCATCATAGATGGAGGAAGCTAATGTTTTGGCAAATAATTTTAACTTTGCCCTCAGAGAGGTTTTGACACTTGTGGGTAACATATTATATAGGTCATCTCTTGCATCAAGGCTGATCAAGTGAGGATACGAAGCTAGCTTCTCAATCAAAATGATAACATTTGCATAGTGGAGAGCTAAAGCAGCACCACCAAGAGTGGACGGAGGGGCATTCAGTAATTCGCGCTTGGAAATAAAAAGGGGTACTTTAGTATGAATTAGGTTGCTGCAAGAAAGTGGCACCATCTTGCTATCTTTAGTTTGGTCAATGACGTTTGAGAAAGCATCAGTTGACATCAGAGAGCCACTGCTTGTCAGCATACAACTATGCAGAACAGGCGACTCACTTCCACCATTCATGCATCCTTTAAAAGGTCCAACATGAGCCAATCCTTTAGTTTTTGATACGGGAGGCTTACCACGAAGGGTTGCTGACTGGTGATGAGCTTGATATTGCTTCTTCTTTGATCTAATCTTATCAGCACTCATCCCCAAATTTGAAACTGACCTCCCAAGAGGTCCAGAATGGAACCAAGACAAGCTATTTTCAGATGGATGAACTGAAGTATACATACGAGCAGATAAGGAATGGCTGCGAACAAGACAATCAGCATTCATATGTTCAGAATTACTGTTTTTTTCAACAGATGCCAATTGATTAATCCCAAATACATGTTTGATCCTTTCAACTATCGTAAAAAGGGATCTTAGTAGAAGCCGGACGGTGTAATCATATGTTCTAATCCAGGGAGACATTTCGCGCAGATTTTTCACTTCCTGCCGCTGCCACATAACCTTCTGCTGAAACTCAAGCAGTTTCACCTGACCTAAATCAACACTGCCTTGCATTCTCCTGAGACTCTGCTCAAGCTCAGCCAACACTTCCAGCTCTTGATGCAATTGTGCTGTTACTGCAGCAAATCTTTCCATTTTCTTAACTTTCCTCTCCATCTTCTTCGACCTGTATTCCCACCCAAACCAATTACGATCAATATCAATTGGGTCATCAAAAACATGTTCAAGACGGTGATATGTCGGGTCTGCGCATCTTTTCCCAAGCCTTGCTACTGATTTTGCCAGACATCCAAAATTCTCAATTATCTCGGCAAGTGCAAGATCCATTAGATAATCACCATCATCTGCTACAAGTTTTCTAATACCAAGTGAGTTCATTATCTCTTCCCTCAACCTAACAATCTGCCTCTCGCTTACACACTGCCACAAATTAACCACCTTAGACATCAAACTTGCAACTTCAAATGCCAAAATTCCAATCACGGCCTTTTCAGGTTCCGACACTGTGCTTTTACGCGAAGTTCTCCACAAATTACTAAACCATGACTCCATCACTGTCTCTCCCCCCATTATGCTAAAAATAGTAACAAATTCTTCAGTCTCAACAGACACTGCAGTTCCTGTATAGATATAACATAACAACAATTAAAGGAAACCAAAGGGCTAGTAATCTTCCATGAATTATTAATTACAGATGACAAATTGTCAAAAGTCTAATCTCTCTCTCTCTCTCTCTCTCTTCAAGTAATTTGGAGGGAGTATATAACTCAAGAAACCCAAGCCCTAAAAGTTTCGTTGCCGAGAAAATGTAAGAAAACTCACCTAAGCTGAGCAAAGAAGTGGAATTAAGCCCAGTTGAGTTGTATTATTATGAGGTACCAAACAATGAAGCATAACAAATTCTTAAATTTTCAGCTTCTTTTCTTTTCCTTCACATTTTACATTTTGTGAGCAACCAAACACAGTAATTGTTAAAATTCAGAACCTATGATGCACCAAATAATGAAGCATCAAATAGTCAAAAAAATTTAACTTCCTTCGCTTCTTTTTTTTCCTTCATTACATTTTCTTAGCAACCAAACAGAGTGTAATTGTCAAAATCAATGATAAATCACAGCTTGAGAACAACAATGCAGCAAAGTAAAAATCAAATAGAGTAAAGGAAAAAATGATTCACCTTTGATTCGAAGACGAGTGAAGTGATGTAAGCTTTCGAAGTAACATTGACCGCTGAGATCGCAAAAAATGCAGAGAGAGAGAGAGAGAGAGGGATTTGGGGAGAGAGGTGGAGATGGAGAGAGAGAGAAAAGAGGACGTGAGGGTGTAGGTTTATAGCGTGCGCACCACCGGCTTCGGTTAGTCCGGACCCTCACGCGCTAACGGTAAGACAAGAAAAAAAAAATTTGGATAACTTTGCAAGTTCCAATTACTGCAACTCGAACAAACCGAGTTCAATGCGAAATGTTTTAAAATTGGAATAATATATTTTTGAATTTAATGTAAATTTAAATAAAAATTTGAAAGTTTGAATTAAATTTGGCTAGATTTAAACAAAAGTATTGGAAAAACTAAAATTTTGATTTGTATAAATAAAAATTTGAAAGTTTGAATTAAATTTGGCTAGATTTAAACAAAAGTATTGGAAAAACTAAAATTTTGATTTGTATAAAAATAAAAATAATAATGTTGCAATAATCTTAACTTTTAAATCAATGTATACAATACAAAGCCTATCATCTTCATTTTTCATTTTGAAATAACAAAGATTATTTGTTCCTTAATTCTCATTTCTCTCTTTATATAAATTATTTATTTTGATATTATATTAATGATTATACTAACAAAAAAAAAATATAGCTTTAACAAATTAATTAGCAAAAAAAAAAAAAAAAAAAAACCCTCAAGTATATAGGTAATTCAGCCTATCTCGAGTCCAATTTACTATGCTCGGATCAGACTTAGACAAATAATTTAGATTTAAAAGTCAAACTTGAACAATTCTAATAAGTTGGAATAAAGTGTATAATACAATGATTATTAGGTGTGTTTTTTTTTTAAGATATTAGCAAGTTGATAAATTAGGTTACTATAATCTGACGTCTAATTTTTTGTTATTTTGTTTTTAGTTTGAACCTCAAATCTCTATCTGAAATCTTGAAAGCATAGTTACTTGAACTATGCTCTAAGTTTTATCTATCTATGATAAATTTAATGAAAATTAATCCATTTCTAGGAGTGTGGGGTATTAGCTACACAGATTGTTTTGTTTTGGTTGTAAAGACATGTTTAATGAAATTGTTTGATGAGAAATAAAAATTATTATTTTGAATAATATTTTTTTTTTTTTCATTTTGATTAAGCCTCCGTTTGGGAAGTGGGTTGGCTTTTTGACTTTTTTGACTATATGAGCCTGGACTCAAAAGCTTGGTTTGGGAAGGGCTTTTGGCTTTTTGGCTTTTTGATTTTTTTGTGAGAGAAGAGTATAATGATTATGGGATTGGATGGGATGTTTTGTCTGTTGTGGCTCATGAGCCTATTCTGTCTTTTATGGCTCATTGAGCCAAAAAAGCCCAATGAGCCCTTGCCTTGCCAAACCAACCCTAACTCTTGTTGAATCGCTGGTTGCTGGAGGTGGCTAGTGGTATGATATGGACAAATAGATAGATTATGTTTGGTTTGAGTTTTAGAGATAGTTTTAGAAAAAAATTTCAAAAACTTGTTTAGTTTGAGATTTTTCTCAAAAAAAATTTCAAAATCACTTTTTCTCTTTTACACATCAATCAATCACTTTTTTTCTCTCCTCTTTCCTTCTCAATCATTTTTTCTCTCACACACATCTACTCAATTACAACAAAATATCAAATCATCCCAAATTCCTAAACTCTAAAACTACTTTCAAAATATACAACCAAACAAACCAAAAAATTTCTAAAACAACTCTCTCAAATTTTTTTCAAAAACAATGCTTCCAAAAACAAACCAAACAAGCCCATAGTCTTTCAAATTATTATTGGGATTATGTCCCAAAATATTAGAGTTTGGGACTATTAATCAAAATTTTCAAAATTAGATTTATAACCTGAATACCTTTTATTTTATTATTGTAACTTCTAAAATAAATAAATAAACAAATTGTTGCTGTGGAAGAAAAACTTAATATTCCACTATATCAAATAAAGGATTACATTCACCCTTTTATAGATGATAATACTCATCTAATTTATAGGGATATTTACAACTTACCTAGAATGGAATCAAACTTATCTAAAACAGAAAGCAATAAAACAGGAAACTCTTATCTACAAATTTGATAACAGACTACTAGAATCCCCTAAAATCGTGGGACCAAATAATGATCTATTAGCTATAGATTTCCTCAATCTTAGCCACTAATAATGCTGACAGATCATCAAACTAATTAGATCTTCCAATAATTCTACACAAATAAAAGAAGAGCATCAAACGATCGTTTTCAGTTGCCTTAAGAAAAGATAGGTTTCACCAATTCGTAATCAATCTCGTTAAATTCAAAGTTATTTTCTTAGTTCTTTTTAAATTTTGTTTGGATCTTGGATAAGTAGAGTTAACTTTGCTTTTGGTATTGGGAATTTAAATGCTTATGAGTTGATGCAGAATAGACCTACAATTGTTCTTATCTTAGCTCAAATGTTGTGTGTAAATGATATGATGATTCATTGTGCATTAGGAATATTTAATTTGATCTCCAAAGAGGATGAGGACAAAAATAAAAACAAAAACAAAAAAGTGTATGTCTGGAGAGATGAAGAATTTAATCAACTATACTTATTATTTTTAAGGATGTTTTAAGTTAATTAACCAACTCAATTTGACACCTTATTAGAAGGTTAAGGGTTTAACTTTTTTTATCTGTTTGGAAAAGTTATTAAAGCCTCGTTTGAGAACATATTATTTTAGTAATTTTTTGATTTTTTACGAAAAAATATGCAGAAAAGTAGAGAAAGTGATGTGACAATTTATAGTGACTTTTTGACTTTTTAGCTAAATAACTACTCCCCAAACAAGGTCTAAATACAATCAATTTACTTTGTGACATTGGCTATGTCTTACTCCTCATAATGAAAATTTGGTGAGTCTGTTTCTTATCACTTAATTATCTAATAAAGATGAGTGAACATGTCTTACTTATAAAAAAATTTACTACGTAATTAGTTTGGAGTACCATGTAAATAATATTACATGAAACTCTAACATTGTGCTTAGTTGAGAGATTTTGGAAGAGATTTGGAAAGAGAAAAAGAAAAAATGGGTGAATGTGAATAAAATATACCTGCAGTTCACTTAATTTTACATACATTTTTCATTTCTCTTTTTAAATTTCTTCACAAATTTTTCAAATAAACACAAAGTAAGATTACTAAATAATTACTTACTTAGGTAGGTGAATGTGAATAAAATATACTTACATTTCACTTATTTATAGATTTTATTTCTCTTGTATGTATCTATGTTGATAATTGTTGATTCATTTTATTTTATCATTTTATTATACATTTAATTAAAAAACTCATGTATATACGATAGAGTTAAGAAATCAAAATTCCCACTTACCCCAGTTTGGCATTCATGTCGAGGCCAAATAATTATAAAAAGACAATATTGACTACAAAAGTTAATAAGATGAAATATTATTTTTTACTTATAATCATTATATTTTTTTCTTTTACAAAAATCAAAAAAATCCTAAAACAAAAATCAAATAAAGCAAAAAAATCTAAACTAACAAAATTCTAATACAAAAAAATTAACTATATTAATTAATGCCAAACGAACTCTTAAATTTTTTTATCAAAACACAACTTAAATAGAATAGATTTCAAGAAAGTTGAAAAGTGCGGCCCCTGAAATTTTCTGTTCTTTTGTTGCAATAGAATTTATTGAAAAAGACAATTATGGTTGGACTAATTGTTGTTACAACAATCCAAAGGGTCAAAAACTAAAGGCCATCGAAGTCATCAGTCCTTTTTTTTTATTTTTTTATTTTTTTGGGTGGAGTCATTGATCTTTCTAAGGAGTTGTTATGGTCAAGGTTTTAAAAATCGGACCGGATCGATCGGTTCAACTGGTTGAATCGGTGACCGGATGGGGTTATGGTCCGGTCAACCCTCCTAAACCGGCCAGCATAAAAAATCGAGATATTTAGTGAAAACCGTTCAACCCACTGATTAAACCGGCGAACCGGTTGACCCGGTCACGGGTCAATCGAACCGGTCCGGTTTGCTTTCTATATATAAAAAAAATAAAATAAATTCGGATCTTATTTTATTTTTGTTCTTCATTCTCAGCAGCAGCGGCTAGGGCTTCCCGAATCCCTTCTTCACACAGGTACTCTTCTCTTCTCTTCCTCTTCATTCATTTCCGATCTGTATCTCTATTTTTTTCGACCATTAACTGATTGCATTGATGGATCATGGATCCTTGATCTCTATTTTTTTCTTCACTTCTTTTATTTTCAGATCTTCCGATAGCAGATCTTTGATCTCTATTTTGGGTCTACACTTGACATAACCAAAATCAACACTTGATTAAATCAACACAGGCATCTCCGAATCGAAGGCTCCGAACTCTGTTTTTTTCCTTCACTTGATTTGAATCAACACACACACAGGTATCTCAAATAAAACAAGAGAAGGCTCTGTTTTTTTTTTTTTTTTTTAGAGGAGAAGAAGATGAAATTTATTATTAATGATGAAATTTATTATGAAATTTATTATGCTTTGTTTAGGATGAAATTTAAGTTGGTTATTAATGATGAAATTTATTATGATTTAAAGCTAAAATTAAACAAAAAAATTAAAATTGTATTTGGTTTCTTACTTTCATCTTAAAATTAAAATTAAAATTATAAATTATAAATTTTATACAATAAGAAAATTACTTAAATTAATAATTAAAATAAATTTTTAATATTATTAAAATTATTAATTGATTTGATACTTTATTAATAAAATAAACTATTTGTTATGAAATTAAAAATTTTAAAAGACAAGAAGTAATTTTCATAACCATATTGTATTTTAAGCAAAATCTCAAAGTATATTTGTAATTTATCCTTTTAAAAAAGTATTTCATATGAGAAATCCTATGGTATATACTAATCTTATCATAATGTTTATAATATAATAACAAATATTATAATATGTCATAATTTTTCTCACTAAAATATGACATAATTAAAATAGTTAATATTTTTTATTTTAAAGATGAACATCATATATTTGCTAATTCATAATTTTTATCACAAAATAACATAAATAAAATTGCGAAATAAAATTATATTTCTTACGATCTGTCCTTGATGGACACACTCCATAAAATTTTTCCTCCTCAA